CCTCTGGTTTCTGAACGCCTGCTTGACCTCCCCGTCGTAGCTTAACAGCCAATCAATTTTCTTCTGCAGCGGCATGGTCGAGTTTCTGAAGACTTCTTCATTTCTCCACTTCCAGAGCCACCAAAGCCTGATGCCAAAACGCTCAGGCCAGCCCTCGTCAAAGCCTTTCTTCACATCTCCCCTGAGGTTCTCGTACAGCCACTCCTTCCAGCTGAGGGCGTCAAGGACTACGGCTATGCTCCTTGGTGTCGCTGCCGCCCAGATCCCTCTCGCAGCCGTGCACGTTCTGAAAATGTGGTTTAAATCCTCTGTTACACCTGCACAACGAAAACACGAGTTATCAGTGGCCAATCGCCTTTTAACACGCTCCGCATTCGTTAGAATTTTCCCGTGCTTCACGAGCCAGATGAAAAAACATATTTTCCCCGGCAGCTTCAACTTCCAAATACCCTTCCATTCGCTGTCTAGTTGAATGTCGTCCGTTCGAACTATCAAATCATAAGCTGAGCTTATCGTGAATCGTCTGTCCACGTCCGGTTTCCATCCCAGTTCGTCAGCCTGTCCCCCCTCCGTCAAAATGCAGCTCGCGAGCTTTTCCAGGCACTCCTTTGGCAAAGACTGGCCCAGTTTTTCCCATTTCCATCCGCGAAGGCCATCCCAATAATCCGCCACAAAGGAATACAGATCAGGAAGGCTCAGCGGTGTGCGAAGCTCGTCATAGAGTGGCTGATCGGTCAACCATGTATCCATCCAGAACCGTGTGGTCTCTCCGTTTCGCACAACTCTTGTTAGCCCTTGCTCCAGATAGCTCCAGGCTTGGTTGATCCCTCTCCATAATGCCATGGCTTTCCTTCTCTGTAAATCCGCGTTCTTTTCACCCCCATTGAACCTATACTTTGCTGCCAACATACGAGCCCACATGCTCTGGGGTTCTGTTCGAAGCCTCCATGCAACCTTCATCATATAGGCTAGATTCAGCTCGTGCAGGCGGCGGAGTCCCAGCCCTCCCAGCGTTTTAGGGGTAGTTGCCACTTCCCAGCTAGTTAAGCTGATTTTGTTTGTCCCTGTAGGCGATGTGCCCCATAAAAACCTCCTTGTCCTTTTTTCCATTTCTAGGTAGAGGCTCTTAGGCAGGCACGTAGTTTGCATGGTGTACACCGGTATGGCATTCAGGACCGTCTTTGCCAAAATGACTCGCCCCGCCGTGGTGAGAGTCTTGGCTTTCCACCCTTCGAGGCGCGATGAGATTCTGTCTAGCAATCCCGAGTAAGTGTCACAAGTTACCCGGCCGTGGAGCGACGGTACGCCCAAATACCGGCCGAGGTCATTTGTAGCCGAGATACCAATCTTGTTTGCAATTTCCTCGGCTAGCATCGGGTCCGTGTTGCGCGAGAAATGAATACTTGATTTCTCGAAGCTGATCTTCTGCCCAGAGGCTCTGCAAAAATTATCGAGACACGTCTGAATCACCTCCACTTGATCAAGGGATGCCTCCGAGAAGAGGACCATGTCATCTGCAAAACAAAGATGAGACAGAGTTGGACCATTTTTATCAAAAGTAATTCCTTTCCAAACCTTACTCTCCACTGCCGCTGTGATTGCTTGACTCAGACGCTCCATACAAAGGACGAAAATAGCGGGTGACATTGCGTCTCCCTGGCGAATACCCCTCCCCGGGGTGAACGGTGCGAGCCTCTCTCCATTCCACGCAACGGAAAGCTTAGAAGTGGTGATACAATTCATAATAAGCGTGGTCCAGCTGTAGTTGAAACCAGCCTGAGAAAGAGTGTTCTGGATAAAACCCCAAGATAAGCGGTCATAGGCTTTCTCCAGGTCTAGCTTGATCGCCATAAGCCCCTTTTGGCCCTTTTTCTCTCTCATGGTATGCATTGCCTCTTGGTATATGACAACGTTATCTGCAATCTGACGTCCAGGGACAAAGGAGCTCTGGTAGGGACCAACCAGGTCAGGCAGAACGTGCTTCAGTCTGTTCGTGATGGTTTTGGTAATGAGCTTATAACTCACGTTGCAAAGGCTGATAGGCCTAAACTGCTTGATACTCTCGGGGCTGGTCACTTTTGGGATTAGAACAATAAGCGTGTCGTTAACTCCGTCAGGCAAGTGTCCCGTCTGAAAAGCCACCTTCACCATTCACTACAAAAAAACACGGAAATAGCGATGGATTTAGCGACGGAACTGTTCCGTCGCTAAATTAGCGATGGAATAGCAACAATGTAGCGACGGATTTTAATTTTTGCGTTAAATAGATATTTTGCGACGGACTAGCGACGAATTAATGACGGAATTTGTCCGTCGTTAAATACGTAGCTAATTTTAGTGGCAAACTTTGGCGCAAAATATAGCGACGGATTTGCAACGGATTTACGATGTATTTTTCGCCGGTTGACTTCAAAAGTTGTATCAATCTTACTTGTTATATTTTAGCGACGGATTTATATATACGTCGCTAATATAGCGACGGATTATTTAATCCGTCTTTATCTAGCTACGGATATAGTAATCCGTCGTTATCTAGCGACGGATTATTTAATCCGTCACTAAAATTTTTGCAGCCAGATAAGTTTATTTATTTTAGCGACCGATTAATAATCGGTCGCTATTCTGAATGTTTTTTTTTAAATCATAGTTTATCAATTGTAATTTCTTCCCTTCCCATAACCCTAACAATTGCAATATTCTGCAACCACTCCTCAGACGACAACAGGTAATTTCCCTTCCCCGGCTAACAATGGCGCCGGTGACCGCCGCCGCCCGGTAGCAACGGTCACGACCGCGGCCTTGGGCTGCGGTTGCGACGGTCGCGACCGCGGCCTGGGAGTAACATCCGCATATCTGGCGGAAGCTTTTGCTGAAGCTAAATGCCCAACAAAAGAATGTCTTGCTTTAGGCAAATTTTTTTACTCAAAATTTCCTTTATATGTTGATATATGCACAGTTACGCATGTATATACCTGTTCACTGAACTTTGTTTATGTTAATGATAACCCCAATTCCCATTATCTTCGTGCTTTTTTTCCTTTGCAGTATTATTATTTCATCAGACTAATGGGCCGAAAGGCATCACCCGAAACTGTTCAAATTGTATCTGCTAGTATTGCTAGTGATATGATTCTTGCCTCTGCTTATGCTAATGAACTCCCTCGTTATGGCCTTGAAGTTGGTCTTACCAATTACGCTGCAGGTACCCATCCCTACATTTGCCTATTTGTTTCTTATTTTTTAATGTAAATTTGTTAATTGTTAATTTGGGTTATCATCTTTTACTCCTCAATTCAGCCTACTGCACTGGACTTCTCTTGGCTCGCCGAGTGCTCCAAAAGCTTGAAATGGATCAAGACTATGAAGGAAATGTTGAGGTGAGTGGTAATTGGCTTTACTTACTTGTATAGTATTTCTTTGTAATAAGTATCTACTTCAGTTTATGTTTTAGTAAAATTTGATCTTATGAACAGGCCTACCGGGGAGGACTACTCTGTTGAACCTGGTGAATACTTCTAACATGTAACCATTGAATTCAATTTTCACATTAATATTTAGACTAGTTTGAGTCAAACATCTTTCTCCATCCTACACAAATTTCATGTGTGATCCCTCTGCTTATGTTGGTCATTCCTCTACTGGCCATCTATTGATTCTTTTAAATAAAAATATAATTTATATTTTTGGACTTAGTTTTAAACAAAAGAGATGATGCCAAATTTATTTGATTCTTGGTTTCAGGGTGCTTTGGATGGTGGGCTCGATTTTCCTCACAGTGACAAGAGGTTTGCTAGATTCAACAAGGATTTCAAGAACCTTGATGCCGAGTTCACCTCAAGTACATCTATGGAGGACATGTTGCAGCATACATGAATGTAAGTTGGAACATACTGATGTTTCCTATTCTTATCGTTGTTACTCCTGTCTTCATTTTTAATATCTGAGGATTTGTTGAACCAGTTGCTTTGATGACGATTTCCTCTCCGAACTATCTTCTTTTATTAGTTATATACTGAAAAATCTTTATTGGTAGTTCATAGTTGTGCCACAATTACGTGATGATCTATTTGTTCACTTATTAACCTGTTTTTTTTTTTTGGCTATATTTTTTTGGTTACCCAGAGCTTGAATGAAGATGAGCCTGAGAAGTACCAATCTCATTTTAGCGAGTACACATTGAGGCTATGTACAAAAAGGTTCATGCTGCTATACACGCAGATCCAAGCCCGAAGAAGTCCGAGAAGCAGCCACCTAAGGAGTACAAGAGGTCTGCTATATTTTGTGTATTTCTTTTTAAATTTACCCTTTCAAATGTTGTCTGATTATAGAGATGTACCTAACACATTCTCTGTTTGTATCTATTTATAGGTTCAACCTAAAGAAACTAACTTATGAAGAAAGGAGGGCTAGGTTGATAGAGAGACTGAATACCCTAATTGCAGCAGCCAGAAATCACGATGATGATGATGATGGGCTGAAACTAATTTTTCTAATTTCTTTTAGATGTCAATGTAACTATGATTCTTTTGTTCGGATAGAATATCAATTCAAATAGAAAGTATACTTTTGTTATTGTTATTGAGTTTGAATTTCTTAATTTAATATATTTTACAATTATATTATTAAAGTATTATATTATAGGTTTAATACGGGTATATGATATTAATTAATGGACAATTTTTTTAAAAAAAATTTAATAATTTAGTGACGGAACAAAATCGTAGTAAATTCGTAGCTAAATATATTCTAATAATAAAGAAGAGCAACGAAATAGCGACGGAATATCCCGTCGCTATTCCCTTGCAAAATTCGTCATTCAAATGGTCATGGAGAGGAAAATAGCGACGGCGTTTTTTTAGTTTAGGGACGGAAAAATCCGTCGCTAAATTTAGCGACGGAATTAAATTTCCTCGCTAGTGTCTAGCGACGCCCCTTTTTGTGACGGACTGAATCCGTCGCTAATCCGTCGCTATTCACTTTAGCGACGGATTTTATCTATTTTAGCGACAGATTTGTCCGTCGCTATATTCGCGTTTTTTTGTAGTGATTTCAAAAAGACTGTCGCCCGTGACCTCCCAGGTTTTTTGGTAGAACGCAGCAGGGTAGCCGTCGGGGCCCGGGGCCTTGTAGGGTTTCATGTCGGTGAGTGCTGTATGGACCTCCTCTTTCGTGATAGGTCGGTTGAAGATGCGCCAAGCCCTGCTGTTAAGCCTGGGGAAGGACGCCGTGCCGCTCTGTGCAGAAATACTGTCATCCCTCGTAAAAAGGTTTATATAGTAGCTCTGGATGTGCCTTTTAAGCTCATTCTCTTCCGTTATCCAGCTTCCTAGATTATCCATAAGCCGGGTAACAACATTCCGAGATTTACGGACCGTGGCGGCCGCATGGTAAAAAGCGGTGTTGCGATCGCCCGAAGCTATCCACTCCTCTCTGGATTTCTGAAACCAAAGAAGCTCCTCATGATACAGTGTTTCTTCGAGCTCCGCCCTTAGCTTTCGTTTTAACTTAGCAAGACCTCTATGGAAAGAAATTTCCAGCCTGCTTTGGATCCCTCCCAGCCTGGCTAAGAGCATGCGTTTCCGAATGAAGATGTTTCCGAACTCTGACCTGTTCCAATCAGTCAGCTTATTGGCCAAGTTGCTCACATTCGATGGTATGTCTAAGTACGATTTCCACTCCTTTTGCACCACTATTTGAAAAGTCGGATGCATGGGCCATGCAGCTTGGAACATGAAGCGTGATGGAAGCTGTCTTCTGCCCTCTTTCTTAAGTTAAATCAAAACTGGGGCGTGGTCAGAAGCCAAACGTGGTAGGTGGGACACACATGCGTCGGGGAATCTGGTTCGCCACGCCGTATTGCAAAGGGCACGGTCTAGGCGGGCGCCTTTGATACTGTCACTCGAGCCGTCTTTAATCCAAGTGAGCTTTGGTCCGGAGAAACCTAGGTCGATAAGCCCTTCCTCCTGAATCCAATTCACAAAGTCAGAGCTTCGCTGCGATGAAAACGAGCTATAATTCATAGTCTCTTCTCGTTGTACAACTGAATTGAAGTCCCCCGCCGTGAGCCACGGCCCCGTGATGGATCTACTCGACTGCCTGAGGTCCCTCCACAGACGCCGCCGGAGGTGATGCGTTGGACTACCATACACCGGGGCGAAGAACCACGGAGATTGGCCTGCCGAAGCAACCTGCAACAGAATAAACTGTGGATGAGTATATAAGACTGTGACCTGTGCCGGGCTCTTCCAGAAAACCCATATGCCTCCACTGAAGCCCAGGGCCTCCACACGAACCCTGTCCGAGAAACCCAGCTTTTTGCAGATATTGTCAGCTTGAACCCCAGAGACTTTGGGCTCAAAAAGCCCAAGGATATCAGGCTTATAAACCTTTAGCAGGTTTTTGAGGGCGCGGAGGAATGACTTGCCACCCGCCCCTTGACAATTCCAAAGCAGACTAATCATTAAAAAGAGAGCAAACAGAAAAAACCAAAAAACTCAAAAACCAAACGCTAGGACCAAAAGCCATGCGTTGCAAGACTCAACGGGCATCAATGCCCCCAACTCCCACGTCATGTGCTGTATTCCCATCTAATCCCATTACAACGTCCCCCTCTTTATCAAAATTGTCTGGCGGGTCCGAGTGATGTTCATTGGCATTTTGCCAAACCGGCGACGGCAGTTCCATCGCTCTATCATCGTTGATCACTCTTGTTGAGCTAATGACCCGTCCCCCTTGCTCGCCCCTGATGACCACGTGCTCGTCCTCCTCCGCCGCACGCCGGGATCCTGAACCAATGCTTCTCTGACCCCGATCCGCCTGCTCATCAGCTTTGATCTGTGATCCACTGCCTGCCCTTGGTTCATTAAGAATTTGGCGTTCAATAGCTATGATATTTGGTCTCTTCGATCTGATCCCCGGTCTTGTTGCCTCCTGCGGGTCCTTCGTTAGCTCAATCACCGCATTTGATCTGTTTACTTCGGTGTTTAACTCATTTTCTGCTTCGTTGCCAGCAATGGGCTCGTCAATATCCCCGTGAGAGACCAGGGGAGCGAATCTCGACATGTTAGCTCCATGCGTACGGTGTGCAGAATTTCCCGTCTTACGATCCCCCTGTTTTGGCTTCGCCCCAGTCCTCTGCTTTCTTCCAGGTGCTATCATCCAAACCCCAAAAGGTTCCTCACCAACTTTCACTCCCTGGTTCCTGGATTCAGATTGCGCCACCGGTACGTGTTCCGCCTGGACATTCCCATCGCTCGCCGCCGCCCCCGCCGGGCTTGTTCTGGTCTTCGAAGGGCACCCATCCGCTGCATGCCCATAGATTCCGCAGGAGAAGCAGATCATATGTATGCCTTCATACGCGACAAATCGTACCTTCTCCTCATACTTGAATTTCGAGATGAGCGGCTTGGTTATGTCAACCTCTACGCATATCCGCGCGAACATTCCTCTTGAAACTTGGCTTGTGGCTTGGTCCACTCTGATTGTCCTTCCCACTTTGTTCCCAAGCTTCCTTAGAAAAATATAATTATAGTATTCCGCCGGTAAGCATGGGATTCTAGCCCAAACCAGAACCTTTTCAGTTTTGTCTGAGTATGGATCAAAATCCGGCACCCATGGCTTGACTAGCAGGTAATGATCTAATATCATCCACGGACCTTCGAACATGGCGAATTCCAGGTCCTCAACAGATCCAAAACGGACAAGGAAATAATCATTATCTATTGCAATAAGATCTAACCTTCCTTGCGGCTTCCACATGGAATTTAGCCTTCGTAACAAGTACGCATACCCGACTTTCCTGCCCATCACCTTGATGATGAGTGCCTTCCTCCACGGCGCCCGGATCGCTTCTATCTCTGCCTTCGTCAGTCTGATGGTAGGACATAAGGGGTCATCGTCTTCATCATCCATGAACTCCTCTGGATCATCGTCTGGATCATCATCCGCATCCTCACCCGGTACTGCCTCTGGCACCGTGATGAAACCCGACACACTTTCTGCGTAGGTCCTGCGATGCGGAACTGGCGCCCCCGTCGATCCCCCGATGGCTGGCCTCGCATCCGTAATCGATCGTTGAGATCCATGCATGGGTGTCGGACCGTAGTCCTCTCCCATCTCCTCCACCGGTGTTTCCTTCACGAACTCAACGTCCGCATGTGGCCTCTGATCCTCCATCGTGTCCGACACCAGCGCCACTGTCCCCTTCCCTGTACATTTAGGCCGTTTCGTACTCCTTTCCAGAAGATCGCAATCTTCCGGCGACCGTTGGCTAGAGAGCTTTTCACTCATCGCATAAAAATAATAATAATAATAATAATAATAATAATAATAATAATAATAATAATAATAATAATAATAATAATAATAATAATAATAATAATAATAATAATAATAATAATAATAATAATAATAATAATAATAAATAAATAAATAAATAAATAAATAAATAAATAAATAAATAAATAAATAAGGCAAGTAACATCACTATATTAAAATGAACTTTCATATGACAATGCTTCAACATATACAACGATGGTATAGTAATTAACGATCATTAATTGTTCGACTAACGTGGCAAAAAATTTTTATTTTATAAAACCAATGTGAGCTGTACTAAAATGGAGTCCCAATCATGTCTCATGCTAACTCATTTGAGATGTGAATCATGCTATTAATCTATAATAATATTTGAATGAGTCAGCATATTTAAGGAACATTTTTTTATTAAGGGGAGAACTATTTAAAGTTGTTTTAAATGAAAAATATAATATGTCTCCTTAAATTATATAAGCTAATAAAATGATGTAATGATGTAATATGATTAATAACAAATGAGTACAAATTACCTTTAATTTACAAGAAAATTCACAACTATTACCCGAATGTACATTTTGGGTGAAACCCGCCTTGTAACCCTAACTGGCAATGACCACAAAGAGGTAAACTAACCAATCTAGGTTGTCTATAGGTGAGCCGCTTTGGATGAAACTGGCGTTGTGATCCTAGTCGATAAAGGACAACAAATAGTTAAGCTAGTTTAGATTGTCTCAAATCGAGAAACTAGGCCAATAGGTAGCTTTCACACAGAAAGTCAGACTTAGAATTTTGTGGCTACTAAACCAACTACTTAACTAACTTGGCTGAGTACAAATTAAATTACCTAATATATAAAGAAAAGGTTATAACATAATTTCTCTAAAATTGTTGTGACAGGGTTCAAATTTATGACTAATGATTTTGATTTTTAGACATTTTATAATCACACCATATCTTGATGGTAGTTAAATTCTATATTTTATTCATATTACAACTTGATTAAATAGTGGTGGGATATCATGGATTGATTGATTGGTTGGTGGCATTTGGATGGAATATTTGCACTAACCATACTTTTCAATCCCATTTTTGTTGGAATTTTGAGGCTTAGGGTAGGAGAGATGGGATTGGCTATCCCTACACTTCGAATTAAAATAGTGAATGAGCTGTACTTCTCTTTTATCATCATATCATTTTGAATCATATATAGTAGTATAGTAGTGTAATATATATGAGCACAACTAGTATATGATCAATTATATTACGTTGTATTGTATTGGTCAAATAGTGGGGCAAAATTGATACTTCACTTAAAGTAAAATTGTTTTTTGAAGTGTTAAAATTTAAAAAATATACAATATATATTTTGAAGTGTATTAGAAATGAAATCAAGATAATTATTCTCTAGTAAATCCTAAGGGAGTAATATACATTTACTAGTAGGTCACGCAACATATATAAAATAATAAACGTATTATATTATTATTTGTTTAAATTTTTAGTTGAGACGTATCATATCTTTCAATCTAGTAGAATATATCCATGTGTTGTTTGACCCATCAAACAAAACAAATTAAAACACTTCTAGACTCGGCAACTCCAAATATGTCATCCCTCAATGTTTGGGAAAAAGCAAATGGAAGTTCCTCAAATTCATTCAATCCTCGATCATGATGGAGAGACACCCTGCTAGCAAGTCTGTTGTTGCGTTTTGTTCTTTACATCGATCTCCTGTTGTTTATTTATCTCTCTTCAATAAGCCTCTAACAAATTTAAAATTGGGTCACAAGAAACACTGCACTTTTTTAGTCACTTAATAGCTAACTCTGTATCACTTTTATTCACGACACACTATAAATCTCTTATTCACACAATCTATAGTCCTTATTTTCTAAGTCTCAACCTCCATGGCACATACTTTGTTGCAAGGGAGATAAATACTTATTTATTTTAAAAGCAAAACCCTAATTGATTAATTCCATAAACTATGTAGCAATTGTCATAACACATAAAATACATATTTTTGAAAGAAAAATAGATGCTTAATATAATATAATCCTTTATGGAAGGAAATAGACAATGAAAAGGGAAATGCATATATAATTGCAAAGCAGGATAGCTACATCTACGGAGGCATCAAATATTATATGCCAAGATGCTTTTATTTTAATTGAATGTCATTATCCTTTGAGAGGGATGGGATTATAATAATTGAGATTACAATTCCAACTAAAATAAGGAGTGATTTAAAGAAAAAATATTTTCAAGTTTGTAACACAATTACCTATTACCTATAACGAAATTTGATATCAGAGTTAATCCTTATTTTGTTTTGTATTTATATTTTCAAATTTATCTTCTCAATAATAAGTTTATTACATTTTATAATCATTTTATATTTAATCAATCACTATTCAATTCATCTACGCTTTGTAAAATATTAGAGTTGCCTTTCCGACATAGTTTAAGCCGTTAACTAAATCAAAATAAGTTGATGGATTTAACTTTCTAACAATCACAAAATACATGGTTTAATTCCTGTAAATGACCCAAAAAAAAATGAGGTATGGAATGACTTTGTTGGCATGTGGGCTAGTTAAAACACATCTTGCCATTTACTGATGTCTTACTCAATACGAACATGATTAGTCTAAAAGAAGCAAAATTATAGTAATTTACTTTTAGCTATCAAATTTCATAAAGATAGAGAAGGAACTGAATTCTTAGCTTGTCAACGCCCTCTCAGAGTCTCAGTCAAAGTCATTGCACATGATTTTGTAGTGTAATTTATCTTTCTGTGTAGTCTACAAACTATTATAATGAACATAGTTTATCTAGTACACACCATTATTGAATAATTGCTGCAAATTTCCCTCATCACTCAAAATCTTCCTTGTATTAAACCCCCACCCCACCCCTACCCCCACCCCCAACCAAAATATAAAAAAAAAAAATAAAAAAAAAATACAATATATGCAGCCGGCTAAAGATGTTCACACACAAAAATGAAATGCAGAAAACAAAAGAAAAAGAACAAGTTGTAGTTTTCTGACATTTTCTTTCAATCATAGGGATGGATGAACAAACCCTTCTGGCTTCTGTACCTCAAAAGGTTATGGCTAAAATTCACTTCCAAATCACACTTCTTCTTTTCCACATAAAAATGAAATAAAATAAAAACACAATAATAATTCTCAATTAAAATAATATTTTTAAATTAAGTTCTTAACTAATTGAATCATACTATAAATAACTTGCAACTCAATGGCACATTGTAACTCTCCCAAGCCACATATTCTAATAAGGTCAGTGGTATTTAAATATTTAAAAAAAAAAAAAAAAAAACTAATAATTGAATCGTAATTTAATATTCCTTACCGTAGAAGGTTAAAATAGTAATTTCAAGTAAGGATAAACATTAAAATAAAAATATCCAAGGTAGGTTTGGGTCCTATACATCGTACCCAGAAATCGAATCAATAAAAGTTATGCCCCCATCTCCACCTGCTTTTAAGAGTTTAGGTTACATATATAACAATAATATATACTGTAATAATAATACGATAAATATTAAATACACATTGACCAATTTCCAGATTCACCCTTCAAATTCTTAAAATTACAGCATCATAATCCATTCACAAAATATAAATAAATACAGTAAAATTCCAAACTAACTTTGGTAAAAAACAGATTTGCTGGGAGGCGAGCCGGCGAACCGGCGAGTCTCCATCCATCCTGCCAAACCGGACTCACAAAACCGAGATTCTGAACCGCCAATAGCTCCATGATCTGACTCGGTGAGTTAACTGGTGAGTTTCCAGGCCGAGGTGGCAATGAGTGGCCTCGTGTGCCAACCCAGCGTCAACCCGCCGTCGTTCTCTTCCACTCTGTACCCATCTCCGCCGGCGAACAGGGCCAACAGCATACTAGCTTGCTTGTAGGCATTAGAGCCCAAGTGAACCGCGGAGAATCCGGCGGACTTGAACCGGGTTCTCCACTGTGCCAACGTCTCGTGGCGCTCGACCCGGTCCACGCCCTCGCACGCCACCACGTTACAGATCTGCCGCCCCAAATACACCTCCGACATCACCTTATCTTGGTCGCACACCGCGCCGCCTTCGCTGGCGGCGCATCCTTCCAGCGAGTCGAAGAGGGTGGAGTAGTAATGCAAGGACTCGGTGAACCGGTCCATGAAAACCGGACCGTTATGATTCGCCTCCTGCTCGACCACCGTCACGATCTCCGGCTTCATGTCCTGCACGACGGATAGAACCTTCTCGATGGCGCCGGGGCGGGCGAGCAGCTGATGGAGCTCGAAGATGGAGTTAACGGCCACCGTCTCGCCGTCCTGGATGTTGAACATCGAGGCGTCGAGATCCGCTAAGGAGTTAGCCACAAACCCTCGGAACTCGAATTCGACATTGATAGTTTCGGCCAGTTGGGCTAATTTCCACCCTACTTCCTGCAAATGATCTGTGTTGTCGCTCGACGGCGGGCCGATTCCGGTTAGCCGGAAGCTGGGAGGGCCGCCGGGGCGTAAGGCGAGAGCCTGGAGGAGAGCCGGCCATTGCATCCCCTGTTTCATGGAGAAATCGATGACGTGAACGCGGTTTTTGTTAGCGAAGGCTTCAAGGATAGCTTGATTGGCGGTGAAATGGGCGAATTTCAGGTAGGGGCAAGTTTCGTAAAAGTGCATTTGGAGGAGGTCGGAGAAGGCGGAGTCGTTGTGGTTGGAAGGGTAGAGCCGGTAAATTCTCCGGGCTAGGGCTTCGGCGAAGTAGGTGGCGACCTTTCGCATGGCTCCGGCTTGCGAGACGGCGAGGAAACCGATTTGTTTCACCAAAGCCTCCGCCAATTTCATGTTGTCCTTCTGAATCGCCTCCGCGCAGGCCATCAAGGTGTGGACGAGTCTGACGCCGTTTTCCTGCGAGTCAACCAGGACTACTGAGCGAGTTGACTCAGAAGGAGAG